GTTTGGGAAAATGGCGAATGATTACTACTACTTACTAACAGGTATGGGATTTCTTTCTGGGGTGATGAAAACATTCTGGAATTAGATAGTGGTGATCAATTATACTTTTGTGCATATACTAAAAAACCATTTAATTGTATGCTTTAAGAGAGTAAATTTTATAGTACATGAATCATATCTTAATAAGCAGTTTTCAGATTACCATGACCTCCCTGCTCAGGCTTAGTCTCTAACCTCTCATCAAGCCTCTCTGCCATCAGCCACTACTCAAAACTACCAGCTTTTTGTCAGTTCCTGAAATATGTCTAGGATTTTCTTGCCTTGAGGACTTTGTGTATGCTCCACCCTTTGCCTGGAATAAAAAGTCTTGCCTAGTCTCTCTCCATGACTAATACCTCCTCATCCTTTAAGTCTCAGCTCAAATGTCATCCCCACAGTGAGGCCTTCCCTCGCCACTCCATCTAAAATAGAACAGCCATTCCCATTAATTCTCTCAGCATCTGGTTTGCTTCCTTTATAGCACATCCACATAGCTTTACACTAATTTACCTGCCTTTTTATCTGGCAGGTCCACCAGACTGTAAGCACCGTGAGAATAGGAATGGATCCAAATTGTTCACCTTTATAATTCCCAATGTCTAACATGTTGGCATTTAAGTACCTAATACAGCAATTTATCTCCCTAATATGCCATGTTCTCACACATGCTGCATCCTCTATTGATACTACCATTGCCACCATCACCACCGCCTCTACTCCCTCTGTCACCACCCCTACCCCTTCCACACCCTTACTCATCTCTCAGCTAAAACATCTCCTTGGTGAAGCCCTCCTTTCTTGACACCCCTGCCCCAAGACAGTCTCTCCCTCACTTACTCACTTCATTCTCCCTCACTTCATCACTGACTGCATCTCCATCATAGCGATTATCTTATTGTATTATACCTGGGCTTTTTGGTGGGGAGAGAAGCAGATGGGGGTTGTTTTTGTTTTACATTTATTTCTACTACTTTAGAAAGCATTAAAGCAAAGAAAAATTTTTTCATCTTTCTGTCCCTAGTACTTAGCACACTGCCAGGCACGCTGCTACTACTAATTATGATGATAATAGTAATAATGGCTAACATTTATTAAGTGTCTAATATGTGTTTGACATTCTTCTTAGTTATATATTAGGTGATTAATGAACAAATGGATAAATTTCTTGGTCACCAACCTCAAAGAGGTCACAGTTTGACAGGGACAGAAGACAGGTATACAGGCTAACGCAGAATAAACATCATCACAAAGCCAAATCAGTTGCCCTGTCCTGTCCCTCTGCCTTCGAATCTTAGAGTATGCTTTCTCTGAGTCCATAAATGTCAAGTTTCTTCAAACTCACTCAGAATACTTCCTTCGATTACTTACAACCCACTTCCTGCATTTGGTGCCTGGAAGCAATTTCTAGGATGTCACCACAAGCAATATTAAACTGCCACACAGTTTCCTGCTGTGTGTCTGCATTATCAGTTAAATTGTTTCATATTAACCACATTCCACTCCACTGGGATCACTCAAACACTAAATAAGATTTAAACGTACCTGTCGAAGATTGTCAGTTACTACTGGTCCTTTTATTCCTCTATATAAATGTCTGCTCAGGTTTAAGGTTAGGTTTCCAGGGTGCTACCTGCATACTGAGACCTTCTCTTTCCTTTGTCAATTAGATGTTTGCTTTGAGGCAAGACAATGTTCCTTTATTAAAATGAACATGAACTAAATACTCTTTAGTGAAAGAAAAGGTCTGCCTAGATCAGTGCAATTTGGCTTAAAAACTTATAAAATATAAAAACTCTTTCTCCTCAAGGGTTCAAATAACACATTGTTCTTTTAAGTCCATGTATAGGCAACTCAGTCTTAGGATCTTAATTCAGATTCTAACAGATTTCTTAAACAACCATGTGCCAAGCATTGAGGTTGACACAGGGAACTCAAAGACAAATGAGAGAGTCTCTGCTCTCAAGAAGTTTATGTCCAACTTAGTATGGCAGACAGACAAGGAACTAGATTTAGTATTATGACCGTGCTAATCATAAGCGGCCACAGACACATGGACGAGGAGCACTTGGCCTCGCCTTGGGGGTGTAGCGATGGGGAAGTGGCATCAAGGCAAACATCTCAGGCCTATCAACTCCCATTCTCTCATTTGAAAAATAGTGGCTAATAAATAGCATCTACACCACTGGACAGTTGTGAGGTTTTGATGAAATGGTTTACATCAACCATCACCATGGTGCCTGACATATTGTGCTCAACCAGGCTTAGCTTGAAAGGGAAGTCCGATCAAGAACTAAATCTCAACATCTGTGCCTAGCAACACACTTGCTTTACCACTGATCATACAAAAGACACCAGTTTCATAATTACACATATTGTTTTTAATCAACTTTTATTTTTTAATAATGAGACAATGTTAAGTCCTGCTCTGCATGCTATCAATCTAATTCCTTGATCATTAAAACTTTCTCCATTACCTGAAACATACCTTTCTCTCATATTTCTAGTATAAAATACAGATGTTCATAGTCTTTTGATAGAGAAGGTGGGAAAAAAACCCTAATAACAGAGTTTAAATGTGGGCCTGGCACCCACGTTTATGCTGTGTTTATTGCTCCTAAGGACCAACCTAGACATAGTCCTCACCATTTTGCCCTCAGGGAAACTAAGGTTGAAAGAGATTGTCTGTGCAAAGTTTCATAGTTAGCATGAAAAAGAGCTGGAATTTGAACCTAAATCTGATTCCACACTATCCTTCAGACTCAGCCACATCAGAGATAAGCAAGAAAAAACACAGGGAGCCCCCACCCCCAAGACTGTCTTACACAATGGAGCCTGCACACTTAGATTTCACCTCAGCCAGGTGAACACCTTGAGTTAAAGTCTGTTCTGCCCTGCCAGGACGGAATGGCCAGTAGTAACCAAAGCTCTGTTTTCTCCAACATCGAGGGCAGCACCTAAGAGGACCATTTCCTCTCAACCTGTCCATCACCCTTCCTAGCTGCAGGCAGAAGTTGCATAATCAACAGTAACTATAAATCACAACTACTCTTCTTAACTTCTCTCTTCACATTTTCTTTCAGTTTCACAAGCTAACATACTTCCCAAGCCTAAGTTTTTATCACAGAGCAGTCTAGTTTCAAGATCAATAAGGCTATTCTTCATACTAATTTCACGCTTAATACAATTTCATGCCTTAGTAAATTCCCTTGCCCAAGTGCTCAGAATTACAGTGATGGGTTCCACAAAACACTTAAGAAATATATTTGTCAACCTGCTACCTTCAAGAGCAAAAGAGACTGGACAGCTAATCATCAGAACTCCTACTTGTTGGATTTTATTGCTGGTTCTGACACTGCCTCCTGTCAGGCAAGTTTCTGAACTTTTCTGTAACAAGAAGGGTAAGTGTCCTCATGCATACTCTGCGACTCTAAGGTGGCTTTTGGAAAGTGTTCCTAAGTGCTATTGAAATCCAAGTTTACAACTCTTATTTGGAAGCAGGAGCTAAACTTGGAGTGCCTCTTTAATCCCAATGCTTCACAAACTACATCTTTTTACCTCCCAAGCCTCTCAAGCTCTTGTTTGGAGCATGCTTTTAACTTTTTTTTCTCATTTCCACAAAAATAAAGAATTAACAGAGTGCTCATCCAACTCTTCCATTTTCATCATCATAAGCAAACTTTTCCGGTTTCATTTAACAGATGTCTCAAGTCTGCTGCGGCACATATTAGACACGTTGTGTACATGGGAAGCCTAACCACTCAGGGGACTGCAAGGCTGGGCAAGGGTCACACTGCATGGGCATAATCTGGACATGAGATGCAATGTTTAAATAATTATTAGATTTCACCCTTATGGCCCTTCCCCCTTCAAACTTCCCCAGCACAATTCTCAAAATGCTGAAATAAACACATTCCACAGACTTTCCTGTAAGGGGGTTAAAAATGTTCTACGAAAATTCTTTTGCGGAACAGCCAATGTTGTCAACTTTGTTTTTTAATGCCCTTAAACGATTCTATTAGTCATAGGGAAAAAGTGAACATTTGTTAGTAATTAGAGATAAAGCATCTCCTGTTCTGGGGCTGAGGAAGGGAGAGGCCACAAGAGGACCTGGCAGAGAGGGGAGATAGAGCTCAAAGCAACACACCCAAATTGGACTGCATAGAAGTTGCACTTCGCAAAGTCAACTTCTCTGTCTAGAATTAAGGCAACAATGTTTCAATGGCTTCTGAAGTTAGATGTATCAACAATTTGCCCGGAAAACTAACTCCCCACAGGGGACTCCAGGTGAATGAATGAGTGAGGAAATCTGCCAGATTGGATTACAAAGCCTTTCTGACCATTATCAACATCAGGTGCTCAGTTACAACACAGAGGCATCTTCCTTCATAGCCTTTGGCCCTTGCTGTGTGGAGACTTTCACAGATAAGAGGGAGAAATAGGAGAAGGGAGAAGGGCCTTCCTCCCCAGGCCATCCAGACCTTAAATCCATGAGTGGCCCCTCCCTGTAAGAACCTCACGCGACTTCTGTGGGGGCCGCAGGCCTCAAGCAGCCAGACTGCAACCTCTCAGGACCTGCCAACTCTCAGGGGCGCCCCAAACACACCCGTTTGGGGAGTTGCTTCCAGAGATTTCCCACTCCCCCTCCCAGCAGTTACATGACCATTTTCAGGGGCTCTCTGTAAACCCGAGTGGGGGGGGGAGGCACCTTGTAATCTCAGCTGTTCCCACCCTCAGGTGAGAAGGGGACACCTGACCACCGATCCCCTCCACCCCGCGGGCTCCCCGCCCCCGCGCCTCCCTGGATCGCCATGGCAACCGTCCCCCTCCCCGCGTGACGCCGGCACGCGGGGCGCCCCTCTGGTCCCGGCAACAAGTCCCCCGCGCGGCCCGCGGCCTGCAGCCCTTGCCCGGCCTCGCCACCCCGCGCCCGGCCCGGCTCCGCCCGGCCCGGCCGCACTCACTTGATCCTGGAGCCCATGGTCCCCGGGCCTCCTCATGGGCCCGCGGGCCCCGCTTGGCGCTGCGCTGCCCGCCCGCCCGCCGCCGACCGGCCTCCCTCTGGCGCTCTCCCCGCCCCTTCCTCCCTTCCCTCAGGCTGGGGCCCGCCCGTTCGAGGCTCGCTCCCTCGCCGCCGCCGCCGCCGCCGCCTCCAGGGGTTAAAGTACTCGCTCGAGCCCGGCGAACGCCATGGTCGCCGGCGCGCGTCCCCGGCGCTCGCCGCCCCCTCCACCTCTCACACTGCCGCCCCCTCCCGCCCGCGCGCGCCGCCGCCGCCGCCGCCGCCGCCGCCGCCGCTCGCGGGCGCTGCTGGGAAATGTAGTCCTCTGGTGAGAGGCGGGGCCGCCGGGGTCCGGGAACCGCGCTTTCCCCGCCCGTGTCCCGGAGTGAGTTCTCCCAGAAGCTCAGCTTCCCGGTGCAGGCCCTTACACACCTCCACCCACTGTTCTCCCGGGGAAACCTCCACCTACCAGCCCCCTGAAGAGACCTTAACCCTATCATGAAGACCTTCAAGCGGAGGACACCTTCAACCATTCCTCCCCTGTGGAGTCCTCCCATCCAGTAGCTCTCATATAGAGATAATTTGTCTCCCATTCAGGCCTCGACGAAAACACGTTTTCCCTTTGAAAAATCCCTCCCTTCCAGTAAGTTATTTATGGACCCTCTTCATCACACCACCCACGTCCCCATATGATCCTTGACGAAGGCCCTTTCTTCTCCCCTTGGACCTTTAAGGAGACCCCACATGGCCACGCGAAAGCCACCTGGGGGCTTCATAGGACTTATACGATGGCTCAGCTTGCCCCACCTTGAGGACCCCTGCCCCCCTTTGTCAGCCATTTTGGGAACTCCAATACAGAAACCTCATGTTACCACAACAGTTCCTGATAGAGATATTAACTCGACACAAAGGAAAGTATTTGAGAGCTAAGATCACCATCCTGCTACCCACCCCTACCCCCCCCTTGGGCTCACTTTCATGAACACCCCAATTTCATAGCCTGTAGGCCTGGAGGTATCGCAAAGGAAGCCATAATGACAGCTACCATTAGCTACCCTTTAATGAGTGGGTGAGTGAGGGCCCTCTCTGAATCTGACACTGTATTTCTCGTACATGATTAGTGCCAATCCTCACAATACTCCTGTGAGTTTATCCTCCGTTTTAAAAAAAGGAAACTGAGGCACATTCCCAAAGGTCACATAACTAGCAACTGGTGAGCACCTGAATAATATTCCAGATATGTGTGACATAGTCATGGGTTATTTTTGATATTAGGACTTTCTTTTCTTCCTTACTTTCCCTTCTTTTTTTCTTTTCTTTTCTTTTTTTTTTTTTTTTTTTTTTGCTATTTTCTGTTCTGAAGTGCCATTTTAGCTCTTAGAAATTCATGGAGTGTCTCTCCTCCCAACACCTACCACGTAGTCACTACAGTAACTGGTCCTAGGTCCTGAACATCCAGGTCCCCAGCTAGACAGGGAGCAAAGAAAGCAAAAAGATAAGTAGTAGAAAAGACTGGATAAAGATAATTTCTCTCTTTTGCCTCTGCCCTGAGGTTATTGAAGGCAAAGGGTAAACTTTTTTGAATTAAAACAAAAAAAAAGTGAAAAATGTCCAAACTGCCATTTTGAATTCAAAGTCTTTTGCGCGCAGACACCGGTGCTGACTTATAAACATCCCCAGGAGCAAAGCTCTGCTAGACAGGCAGGGGCTCTGTGGTGTTTATTCACCTTGTTTCCTATGAACCCTCTCCAAGGAACAGTTGTTATCAAGATCTTCGCTGGAATGAGCAGCCAGTTCAAAAGCTCTGAGCAGGAGACTATAAATAAAACAAAGTTATTTGGTGGAGGGCAAAGCTGGCTGCTTTTCAAAGGAGGCCGTAGCCATCCTGGCCACAAAAATGTCTGGGTGCCTGCTGTGTGTGTGTGTGTGTGTGTGTGTGTGTGTGTGTGTGTGTGTGTGTTGAAGGGGGGAGGCAGAGGGTGGAGATTATGTCTGCTCAGGTGGCCTTGGAGGCAGCAGGGTGGTCTGGTGAGAGAGCACTGGACTGGGACTTGAGAATCTCACTTCTAACGCTGGCTGGCGCACTGACTAGCAGATAGATTTTTGTGCGAATGGTTAGACAATTGTCTGCTTTAGTTTCTTCCTCTGTAAAATGAGTATAGAGGGTGATGAGGAGCTCACATCATAAAACAGAATGTAATGTAGGAGCTAAGAATGCAGGCTCTGGAACCCAAATGCCTAGATTTAAATCTCAGCTCTACTTCTTACTAAATATGTGACTTTGGGCAAGTTACTCAATCTCTCTGTGCCTCAGGTCCTTTGTCTGTAAAATGGAAATGATGATAATAATATATCAACTTTAGTGAGTTGACATGAGGATTAAATGAGTTAATGATACTTATACAGTATTTAAACAGTGACTAGCATATAGTAAGCACTCAAAAATTACCAGCACTATTATATACAAAACACTTAGCACAGTTTGGCTTTTATTATTAAAAGTAATAAGCGAGCCAGAAACAATGCCAAGCTTCTACTTGAGCCCAGGAGTTCAAGGCTGTGGTAAGCTATGATCACACCTGTGAATGGCCACTGCACTCCAGCCTGGGCAGTATAGACAGACTCCATCTCTAAAATTAAATTAATTAATTTTTTTAAAAAGTAAGCATAATAATAAATAGTCGTGTGCTTGGATTCAGGAAACCTGAGTTCCCAGCCCAATTCTATTGTTTACATTCTATAGCAGTTAGAATTCAACTCAACTGTAAATGAAAGAATTTACAGTTGAATAACAGTGGCTGAAAAAAGTTGAAGTTTATTTCTCTTTCATGTAAGGTCTGGAGAGGAACATTCCAGAGCTGATATGACAACTCTGTAATTATCAGAGACCCAGCGTTCTATCTCATTGCCCTCCTATTCTCCAAATGGAACTTCTACCTCATGTTCCACGGTGGCTGCTTGAACATTAGCTATCTAATCTGCAACCCAGCCAGCAGGAAAAAAGAAGGATGTGCCCCACCCCAACCCCTGACCTCTAAGTGTACTTCCCAGGAATTCCTCACTTCCATTTACATCCCACTAGCAAGAACTCAGTCATGCAACCACATCTCACCAAGAAATACAGCCTTTATTTCAGAGAATCACGCGCACAGCTGAAAGCTGGTGAGGGGCAGGCGGAGCGGCATTTCCAGGAAGGAAGGGGAGGACAGATATTGCAAGACAGCCAGCAGTCTCAGCCATGGTTGGCTGTGTGATTTTGGGCAAGCCACTGCATTTCTCAGTTTCCCTATAGCCTAAGTAAGAGAATCAGTCCAGGTGATCTCTCTCCAGAGTCCTTTTTGGTTCTAAAATTCTATAATTCATTGGCTTATTGTTTTTATAATTCCCTTAAACCTACGTGAATCCGATGTCGTTCAAACAAAATGAGACCTCTGTGCCAAGTACATGGCATAACAACTGTTGGAATTGAAACCTTCTGGTGAAGAGAAGGGGTTTAGGAATGTTGCCTTCTCAACTGTTGTCTAAATAAGCTGAGCAGATCTAGCAGATAAAAGTCCAATGGTGGGTGTGACACCACCTGCGCTGACACTTTGATGTTCCTCAGTTTCCAAACTTGCCTGGCTCTTCTCTACCTGTTTGCTTTTTCAGCTTAGGATTTAGGAAGCTGTTTATTGAGGGCAGGACAGCAAACCCAAGGAGCTCCAATGCCCCCCTAATTGTACAGTGTAAAATGGCAGAACAAAAAGTCTGTGAGCCACCATCCAGTGGACTGTTGTTCCTAATATACCAAGTTGTGATTATATTCTTTTTTTTTAATTGAGATTTAGTTCACCTACCATAAAATTCTCCACTTTAACGTGGACATTTCAGTGGTTTTTAGTATAGTCACAAAATTGCAACCATCACCACTATCTGTAATAATTCCAGAACACTTTCAAAAAAGAAATCCCACAACCATTAGCAGTCACTCACCTTTCCTTCCCTCCTCCCAGCTCCTGGCAACAATGAATCTACTTTCTGTGTCTATGGATTTCCTTATTCCAGATATTATATAAGTGGAATCATATGCAGTCATGTGTTGCTTAATGACAGGATGCATCCTGAGAAATGTATTGTTAAGCAATTTCGTCGTTGTGTGAACAGCATAGAGTGTACTTACGCAAACCTAGAGTTAGGAACTAAGAGTGCAGACTCTTAGCCTCCTACACAGCTAAGCTATTATATGGTATAGACTATTGCTCCTACGCTACAAACCTGTATAGTATACTGTACTGAATATTGTAGGCAATAATAACACAATAGTAAGTATTTTTGTATCCAAACATACCTAAACATAGAAAAGGTACAGTAAAAGTGTGGAATTATAATCTTATGGGACCAATGTTGCATATGCTGTCATCATTGACCAAAATGGTATTATGCAGTGCATGATTGTAATGTGTCTGGCTCCTTTCACTTAGTATAATGTTTTCAAGGTCCATCCATGTTGTAACATGTGTAAGTACATAATTCT